AGAATGATGTCAGTGTATCCGGTGGAGCTGTGTGAGAGTATGAACGACTAGAACTGTGTACTGTACAGAATGATGTCAGTATCTAGTGGAGCTGTGTGAGAGTATGGACGACTAGAACTGTGTACTGTACAGAATCATGTCAGTGTATCCGGTGGAGCTGTGTGAGAGTATGAACGACTAGAACTGTGTACTGTACAGAATGATGTCAGTATCTAGTGGAGCTGTGTGAGAGTATGAACGACTAGAACTGTGTACTGTACAGAATGATGTCAGTATCTAATGGAGCTGTGTGAGAGTATGGACGACTAGAACTGTACTGTACAGAGTGATGTCAGTGTATCTAGTGGAGCTGTGTGAGAGTATGGACGACTAGAACTGTGTACTGTACAGAATGATGTCAGTGTATCCGGTGGAGCTGTGTGAGAGTATGAACGACTAGAACTGTGTACTGTACAGAATGATGTCAGTATCTAGTGGAGCTGTGTGAGAGTATGGACGACTAGAACTGTGTACTGTACAGAGTGATGTCAGTGTATCTAGTGGAGCTGTGTGAGAGTATGGACAAAACTAGAACTGTGTACTGTACAGAATGATGTCAGTGTATCTAGTTGAGCTGTGTGAGAGTATGAACGACTAGAACTGTGTACTGTACAGAATGATGTCAGTGTATCTAGTGGAGCTGTGTGAGAGTATGGACGACTAGAACTGTGTACTGTACAGAATGATGTCAGTGTATCCGGTGGAGCTGTGTGAGAGTATGAACGACTAGAACTGTGTACTGTACAGAATGATGTCAGTATCTAGTGGAGCTGTGTGAGAGTATGGACGACTAGAACTGTGTACTGTACAGAGTGATGTCAGTGTATCTAGTGGAGCTGTGTGAGAGTATGGATGACTAGAACTGTGTACAGTACAGAGTGATGTCAGTGTATCTAGTGGAGCTGTGTGAGAGTATGGATGACTAGAACTGTGTACTGTACAGAGTGATGTCAGTGTATCTAGTGGAGCTGTGTGAGAGTATGGACGACTAGAACTGTGTACTGTACAGAGTGATGTCAGTGTATCTAGTTGAGCTGTGTGAGAGTATGGACGACTAGAACTGTGTACTGTACAGAGTGATGTCAGCGTATCTAGTGGAGCTGTGTGAGAGTATGGACGACTAGAACTGTACTGTACAGAGTGATGTCAGTGTATCTAGTGGAGCTGTGTGAGAGTATGGACAACTAGAACTGTGTAGTGTACAGAGTGATGTCAGTGGAGCTGTGTGAGAGTATGGACGACTAGAACTCTGTACTGTACAGAGTGATGTCAGTGTATCTAATGGAGCTGTGTGAGAGTATGGACGACTAGAACTCTGTACTGTACAGAGTGATGTCAGTGTATCTAGTGGAGCTGTGTGAGAGTATGGACGACTAGAACTGTGTACTGTACAGAGTGATGTCAGTGTATCTAGTGGAGCTGTGTGAGAGTATGGACGACTAGAACTCTGTACTGTACAGAGTGATGTCAGTGTATCTAGTGGAGCTGTGTGAGAGTATGGACGACTAGAACTGTGTACTGTACAGAGTGATGTCAGTGTATCTAATGGAGCTGTGTGAGAGTATGGACGACTAGAACTGTACTGTACAGAATGATGTCAGTGTATCTAGTGGAGCTGTGTGAGAGTATGGACGACTAGAACTGTACTGTACAGAATGATGTCAGTGTATCTAGTGGAGCTGTGTGAGAGTATGGATGACTAGAACTGTGTACTGTACAGAATGATGTCAGTGTATCTAATGGAGCTGTGTGAGAGTATGGACGACTAGAACTGTACTGTACAGAATGATGTCAGTGTATCTAATGGAGCTGTGTGAGAGTATGGACGACTAGAACTGTACTGTACAGAATGATGTCAGTGTATCTAGTGGAGCTGTGTGAGAGTATGGATGACTAGAACTGTGTACTGTACAGAGTGATGTCAGTGTATCTAGTGGAGCTGTGTGAGAGTATGGACGACTAGAACTGTGTACTGTACAGAGTGATGTCAGTGTATCTAGTGGAGCTGTGCGAGAGTATGGACGACTAGAACTGTGTACTGTACAGAGTGATGTCAGTGTATCTAATGGAGCTGTGTGAGAGTATGGACAACTAGAACTGTGTACTGTACAGAGTGATGTCAGTGTATCTAATGGAGATGTGTGAGAGTATGGACGACTAGAACTGTACTGTACAGAGTGATGTCAGTGTATCTAATGGAGCTGTGTGAGAGTATGGACGACTAGAACTGTGTACTGTACAGAGTGATGTCAGTGTATCTAGTGGAGCTGTGTGAGAGTATGGACGACTAGAACTGTGTACTGTACAGAGTGATGTCAGTGTATCTAGTGGAGCTGTGTGTGAGTATGGACGACTAGAACTGTGTACTGTACAGAGTGATGTCAGTGTATCTAATGGAGATGTGTGAGAGTATGGACGACTAGAACTGTACTGTACAGAGTGATGTCAGTGTATCTAATGGAGCTGTGTGAGAGTATGGACGACTAGAACTGTGTACTGTACAGAGTGATGTCAGTGTATCTAGTGGAGCTGTGTGAGAGTATGGACGACTAGAACTGTGTACTGTACAGAGTGATGTCAGTGCATCTAGTGGAGCTGTGTGAGAGTATGGACGACTAGAACTGTGTACTAGAGATAGCAGTTACCTACCAGTGCTCCATGGCTACTGAGGTCTAGCTGCTGCTCTCACCTGCAGAGCAGACAAGGCTATTAACTGATTATGGATATGGCTGAATATAATTTATTAATACAAATCAGATTATTTATTAATGCTAGCCTGATGATTTATGGATGTTGTGGCTGCCTTATCTAAATGATAAACTAAATGTGTTCAGAGTTCTGAATTGAGGTTAACACTTTCATGTTCTGACCACTGTTATCAGTGTAGCTAAATCCATATAAACATTATCTTTGGTGTGGTGATCTAAAGTAATGGCTTGCTTTATATAGTTCTTCATGCGGACACATCCTAACAGCTATTTGTAAAGTAACATTTCTTTGCACTGTGAAGTGTATGTGTAACTCATCACAAAGGGGTTGCTAGAAGTTGCATATCAAATTTATCACTTAGGTTTTTTTTCTAAGAAAAGGTTGGAGAACTTAGCATAGTACGCTATTTAATAGCAGTAGTTGATTTATAATGGATCGTAATGGCGAATGCTTGCTAACATATTAAATACCCGGTATGTTTCTTGTTCTTTGTTCAACTTTTATGACACATCAATTAGGATTGATCGATGCTGATTTTCTTTACCGAGTTTGGTAAACAAAGTACCTGTCATTAGCAACTCATTGACCAGCAACTATATTATCTCGGTATCACTATTTTGTGGTGTGATGCTTGTGGATTATGTGGTTCAAATCACTTCCTGTTTTGCATTATGTGTAATCCAATGTATACGACTTAGTTTAGATCAAGGGATGTCATCCGAACGTAGGGTTCTTTTCTAACCAATTTCGAATGGAGGTAGGGGTAATTCCACTTCAGAAACGTCCCAGAAACTATCATAAAAATAGTTAACATGTATACTTACGAGTAGCCGTGACTTACCGCAACAATTCCTGTATTTGATCATGTGATGAAATCTCTTGCTTAAATTTGCATATGTAAACAGTCAACAGCGGGTGTGTATTACGCGATTTATCGATACCGTGATAACATTGAACCCGTGAAAGTATAGTGTCATACTATATATTTAGTTTGTCTTTACATTCTTCCTAAAGGTTACAGGAGGGATGGGTTTTCTGGGTACCAGGACAGGTAATTTACTGTAAATAGAAGTACTCAAGGCAATGGTCACATATTGTTGCCATCTGTCTGCTAATGTACACATAGACACAGTCACCAACAACTCGTGATGGAAAGTGCTTTGTATTTTATGTTTGAGAGTAATGACAAAATCAACATGAATAATATACTATTAGAACCTTTCTTTCACTGCAAGTCACTGCTGATACAACACCGACAGATAAAATCCAAGTTGTGTGTCTCGTAAAAGGGCCTAGGGTAGGGTAAATTGGCTATCCTAGCAAGTTTCTTTTAAACAACACTTTAGGTGAAGGGGCCATTGTTGTGTAGGGTACTACAGCTGTGTAACAATGGGATCTTTCTATCCAGAAATGTACCCTGGCTGGTCCCTGGGGAGCCTGGATGAGTCCATTAAACAGTGAGTGAAACCATTTAGGCTTCACTTGTAATATAAAGACTTGCATGTTGCAGGAATAGATTGAGGTTTGAAAATAGTGTCTGTGGTGTTGAAATAACATGAATGTTAATACAACATATTCAAGCAGCAAACACAAGTCTCAGTCCAGTTTTCTGGAGAATGGTTTTGGGCAGGGTACATTTCTGTATATAGAAAGGCACCCTTTGCAACAACGACCCCATCTAATATATTTTACTCATCCTCTAATTCAAGTTTTCTGATCTAGGTCCATCAACTGTTAAATGATTGTGTTAATTATAAAGAGACAATGTTTCAATTTCAGATAAAGAACTAACAACAATATCTAGACCCCACTAAAAACACATTAGTCCTTGAAGCCTAGTCTTGCTTTAATTAGTGTATGCAGATACAGGTAGTAGGTAGTAGTTACTTGAGTATCCAGATAATGATATGGATTTAATCCTGAAAGCTGCCCACAAGCTTTTGAAAAAAATCACTTGGAGATTTTTGATACCTGAAAGGAATCTATAGAATAATTTAATTCAATCAGAATTAATTAACTGTGAATACAACTAAATACAACTTAATCACACTGTACAGAAGAGTGAAGTCGGAGACATGAAAGTTAGAAGTGGGTCAGATCAAGATATGGAATATATTGTTAATTTACTGTGGCCTATTCTAAAAACTTTATGTTAATTGTTGTCATTAATTTGTTTTCCTTAATACTTCAGGTAAAAAGTCTAATGTATTGAAATTATTTAATTCTAATATGACGTTTTCAATGGTTTTCAGGAGCGAGAACGTCGCATTGCATTGGGTTTGCCAGTTGATGGAGAGGAGGACGATGACCTTTTTATTGACCCTTTCAAGGCCATGGATGAGAGTGAGGCTGAGTTAGAGGACCGGGAAGGAGACAAGGTGTCGTGGACATATTCTAACTACATGCGCGCACTGGAGAAGGAAGACCTACTGAATAACACTGATGAAAGCATGTTCAGCTCACTCACTGATGGCAGTAAGACATTCATCTTCATACACTGGGAAAAGCTAGTGTATATCAGTATAATGGCAAAGCACGATAAGAAGCATTTAGTAATTATATCATCAGATACAAATGTATCTAAATGGCATCGGCTCAGTGTAACGGCCATGTTTAAGTGTAGAAAAAGAGAACTTATGTTTTATAAATTTCAGCCTCAAAGATATGAAAATGTAGACAGCTTAATATGCTTCACCTTTGTTCTATCGTATGTTTGATATTTCAAGTCATGTACCATTAGCCCCACATCAGCTATGACATATCCTCTGAAAGACACGTCATGCAGTAGAGGAATAATCTCAAAATGATATTGATAAATACTGTCATTGTAGGTTCCATAGCCTTTATCATGAAATAATTATTTTCTGTGATGGTTATGTCTACAATATGGCCCCCAACTTCTGGATGCAACAAGCTGATTTCCCCAATCTCTACACAGTGTTGTTTGTGTAGTTGAAGAAATGACTTTTGCAGCAAAATAAATGAAAAGGACGATGTTTCTTGCTCAGTGAGATCCAGGCAAATGCCGTGTGGTCCAAAAGCTGTAGAATGTTAATAGAGTTACCTGCCCCTGCCCCCAGCTGCATGCATGTATTGAGGTATGTGGCAAGGGTCACTATAATTGCAACTCCATAGGCCATTGTTTTTTCTTCAAATAAACCAAATGGCCGCTGGCAACATCAAATAGATTGTCAGAGATTTCCACATTCTGCTGAAGTCAAGTGGTACCAGTAGGTGGCTAGCTGGCTCCCCGCACTGCCAGCCCTGTACACAGCTCCAGCATCGTGACAGTGGAAACAGGACCAGCATCACATCATGGGGACATCATTTGTAGGTCATTCTGTCATAATACACATTTACCAGGTATATGCTTGGAAAAGAGATAACAAACACCTGCTAAGTTGGGTTCCTATTGAATTATCACATTTGATACACCCAGTGCTTTCAGCAGCTTATTGCCCATGTGAGCTTACTTGTGTAGAACCATGTGTATGTGTGATGCTGGTGGCGGTGGTTTGTTGATGTGGGAGAAAGCTCTGGAGCACCCACAGACACATCAGACATAAATGTTCGACAGAAACCTGTTCCAACCATCCCAGGTTTGGGAAGTGTTAAGTTGTTAGCTAAGATAGATGTAAGCAGTACATGATCTTTCCTCCCCAGACTCTTTCAAGGAGCTGAACTTGGAGATGATAGCGGAGAGTCTTGGGAGGGAGGACAGCCCCCCTCCCAGTCACAAGAAGTCATTCCGGTCCGAGGAAACACAAACTACACCATACAAGTCAGTATAAAATTTCTACAGTATCAGGTTCTGGCTATAATATTTTCTAGTTTCAGTTATGGATCAATGATCCAGAAAAGTGAGAAATACTGTGTTTTACTGGATTGTCTTCCCTCCTCACTGGTTTAGAACTACTGTAATTGGTCATTTTGAATACGGAGGAGGAGGTGATTTGACTAAATTATGCTCAAGATAATTCCAACAAATTGGCACATCATAAACCCCAATTATCTAATATTTTATGTTGTACATTTAAGTCTAAGGTACCTCCATCGTGATACAGAGATACCAATAATAGAAAAGACCTATTTTAAAAACTTTCAAGTTAGCTAACATTGACTATAATGGTAATAAATAATTTGTGATACACAATTAAAACAAAACCCTTATTCCCTGCTCCTTGACTAAAACATATTCTCATACTAAAATAAAAATGACAAATAGAATCGCCTACTCATTGATGTTGATAATGAAAAATATAGGGTACTCACAAAATTCTGTAAAGCTTATGTGCTTAAGCTTACAGTGTGTTTCATCATTGCTTGATGATTTTTTTTATAGAAAAGTGAGTCGAGCTGAGACATCACTGAAACCTGTCGAGGAGAAAAGTCCAAGGAGAAGCCCCGAACCTGTTTCAGGTAATTCTTACTGCTGTAGTTCTACTGAACCAGCCTAGATGATAAGTATGGTATCGATGTTGTCCTGACACTGTATCAGGTAATTCTTATTGCTGTAGTTCTACTGAACCAGCCAAGATGATGCGTATGGTATCGATGTTGTCCTGACAGTTTCAGGTAATTCTTATTGCTGTAGTTCTACTGAACCAGCCTAGATGATAAGTATGGTATCGATGTTGTCCTGACAGTTTCAGGTAATTCTTATTGCTGTAGTTCTACCAAACCAGCCAAGATGATAAGTATGGTATCGATGTTGTCCTGACACTGTATCAGGTAATTCTTATTGCTGTAGTTCTACTGAACCAGCCAAGATGATACGTATGGTATCGATGTTGTCCTGACACTGTATCAGGTAATTTTTATTGCTGTAGTTCTACTGAACCAGCCAAGATGATAAGTAAGGTATCAATGTTGTCCTGACAGTTTTAGGTAATTCTTTTTGCTGTAGTTCTACTGAACCAGCCAAGATGATACGTATGGTATCGATGTTGTCCTGACAGTTTCAGGTAGTTCTTATTGCTGTAGTTCTACTGAACCAGCCAAGATGATACGTATGGTATCGATGTCGTCCTGACAGTTTCAGGTAGTTCTTACTGCTGTAGTTCTACTGAACCAGCCAAGATGATACGTATGGTATCGATGTTGTCCTGACAGTTTCAGGTAATTCTTATTGCTGTAGTTCTACCGAACCAGCCAAGATGATAAGTATGGTATCGATGTTGTCCTGACAGTTTTAGGTCATTCTTACTGCTGTAGTTCTACTGAACCAGCCAAGATGATACGTATGGTATCGATGTTGTCCTGACAGTTTCAGGTAATTCTTACTGCTGTAGTTCTACCGAACCAGCCAAGATGATAAGTATGGTATCGATGTTGTCCTGACAGTTTCAGGTAATTCTTATTGCTGTAGTTCTACTGAACCAGCCAAGATGATACGTATGGTATCGATGTTGTCCTGACAGTTTCAGGTAATTTTTATTGCTGTAGTTCTACTGAACCAGCCAAGATGATAAGTATGGTATCGATGTTGTCCTGACAGTTTCAGGTAATTCTTATTGCTGTAGTTCTACTGAACCAGCCAAGATGATAAGTAAGGTATCAATGTTGTCCTGACAGTTTCAGGTAATTCTTATTGCTGTAGTTCTACTGAACCAGCCAAGATGATACGTATGGTATCGATGTTGTCCTGACAGTTTCAGGTAATTTTTATTGCTGTAGTTCTACTGAACCAGCCAAGATGATACGTATGGTATCGATGTTGTTCTGACAGTTTCAGGTAATTCTTACTGCTGTAGTTCTACTGAACCAGCCTACATGATAAATATGGTATCAATGTTGTCCTGACAGTTTCAGGTAATTCTTACTGCTGTAGTTCTACTGAACCAGCCAAGATGATACGTATGGTATCGATGTTGTCCTGTATCAGGTATAATGCTCGGAATATATAGTTATATAAGATAGCTACGCGATAAATTGCAAAGAACAATGAAGAATGAAGCGTGGTTTTTTTCACGGTAAAACATTGTTCTATCATGACGTCATTTCTGGAATCTCCGCTCGCAATTTGATGATGTCTTTATTTTTGAGAGGGTCTAGTGAGTTTTTCCAGATAGATGTAGCTGGTCTATGCAGAAAATGCAGTGGCTAATTGATCACATCCAAATTGGGACAGATATGACATTCAGTATTAGGAAAAAAGCTGCAGACAATCGACATGAGGACTGCGAGAATATGCGGGAAATACGAAACTTAACCCACCTGTTAATAAACTGGACTCCTACATTTCCCTCTATTGAGGGAGCCATCATTATTTAAATATGGGTAAATATTTATATTGAAGCTTGTACATTTTTTCAACATCCTTAAGAGGCTGTACGTCTCATGTAAGAAATAAACGACTCGTGGTAGTTGTTTATGGTACAATAAAACACTGCCGGGAGAATAAACCATTCGGGGCATTTATTGTATTATAAACAACTCCCACTCGCCCTTTATTTCCTAGGTAACATACATACCAGCAGGATGATAAGTGTTGATGTTGTCCAGACACTATATCAGGCATAATGCATGGTGTATATGGTTGTAACATACATACCAGCAGGATGATAAGTGTCGATGTTGTCCAGACACTATATCAGGCATAATACATGGTGTATATGGTTGTTACATACATACTAGCAGGATGATAAGTGTCGATGTTGTCCAGATACTATATCAGGCATAATGCATGGTGTATATGGTTGTAACATACATACTAGCAGGATGATAAGTGTCGATGTTGTCCAGACACTATATCAGGCATAATACATGGTGTATATGGTTGTTACATACATACTAGCAGGATGATAAGTGTCGATGTTGTCCAGATACTATATCAGGCATAATGCATGGTGTATATGGTTGTAACATACATACTAGCAGGATGATAAGTGTCGATGTTGTCCAGATACTATATCAGGCATAATACATGGTGTATATGGTTGTTACATACATACTAGCAGGATGATAAGTGTCGATGTTGTCCAGATACTATATCAGGCATAATGCATGGTGTATATGGTTGTAACATACATACTAGCAGGATGATAAGTGTCGATGTTGTCCAGACACTATATCAGGCATAATACATGGTGTATATGGTTGTTACATACATACTAGCAGGATGATAAGTGTCGATGTTGTCCAGATACTATATCAGGCATAATGCATGGTGTATATGGTTGTAACATACATACAAGCAGGAAGATAAGTATCGATGTTCCACAGAGCCTGTATCAGGTATAATGCATGGTGTATATGGTTGTAACATACATACCAGCAGCATGATAAGTATCGATGTTCCACAGCATCTGTATCAGGTATGATGCATGGTGTATATGGTTGTAACATACATACAAGCAGGAAGATAAGTATCGATGTTCCACAGCATCTGTGTCAGGTATAGTGCATGGTGTATATGGTTGTAACATACCTAACGGCAGGATGATAAGTATCGATGTTCCACAGCATCTGTATCAGGTATGATGCATGGTGTATATGGTTGTAACATACATACCAGCAGCATGATAAGTATCGATGTTCAACAGCATCTGTATCAGGTATAATGCATGGTGTATATATGGTTGTAACATACATACCAGCAGCATGATAAGTATAGATGTTCCACAGAGCCTGTATCAGGTATGATGCATGGTGTATATGGTTGTAACATACATACCAGCAGCATGATAAGTATCGATGTTCCACAGCATCTGTATCAGGTATGATGCATGGTGTATATGGTTGTAACATACATACCAGCAGGATGATAAGTATCGATGTTCCACAGAGCCTGTATCAGGTATAATGCATGGTGTATATGGTTGTAACATACATACCAGCAGCATGATAAGTATCGATGTTCCACAGAGCCTGTATCAGGTATGATGCATGGTGTATATGGTTGTAACATGCATACCAGCAGCATGATAAGTATCGATGTTCCACAGCATCTGTATCAGGTATGATGCATGGTGTATATATGGTTGTAACATACATACCAGCAGCATGATAAGTATCGATGTTCCACAGAGCCTGTATCAGGTATGATGCATGGTGTATATGGTTGTAACATGCATACCAGCAGCATGATAAGTATCGATGTTCCACAGAGCCTGTATCAGGTATGATGCATGGTGTATATGGTTGTAACATGCATACCAGCAGCATGATAAGTATCGATGTTCCACAGCATCTGTATCAGGTATGATGCATGGTGTATATATGGTTGTAACATACATACCAGCAGCATGATAAGTATCGATGTTCCACAGAGCCTGTATCAGGTATGATGCATGGTGTATATGGTTGTAACATACATACCAGCAGCATGATAAGTATCGATGTTCCACAGCATCTGTATCAGGTATGATGCATGGTGTATATGGTTGTAACATGCATACCAGCAGGATGATAAGTATCGATGTTCCACACAACCTGTGTCAGGTATAGTGTAATTATAGTTTTTCTAATAAATATTAATCAATATGTAACTGTTGTGATATCCATGTCACCATGTGGAATGCGATGTTTTTACAAATTTGGAAGATGATACTTTGTATTCATACAAAGTAAAAAGTCCAAAAGATATCCAGGCTTCAGATCAAAGTTTTTATTTAACATTGGCACACACACTAGGGCTTGGATGGGTAACTCGGGTACCCGGGTCGGGTGGGTACTGAGTAGGACCCGGGTACCCATAGGACTACCCGGACCCATGCTTAGTCACGTGATATATTGTTTAATGACAAAAATTATCTTGAACTCTATGGTTACACTTCAAGCCGCTAATGTTCGCATTTCTTTCTGACTATGCATCCATTCCTTCTGATTTTTTCATATGGTTGAATAAAGATATAACTTAATTAAACTTCAGTGTATGAATGACCAGATTGTTCAAAACATGTATCAAAATACGTTTTGCCAGGGTTATGCTAAAAATGTTCCCAATCGGACATTTTGAGACATCTCCTGAGAACAACAGTGGGTACCCGGGGAGGGTCGGGTAATAGGGGGGGGGGTACCCGGGTAGTAAATTTGGATTTGTCCCAGCCCTAACACACACCCATTCATTTGCACAATATAGGGTAATGTAAGGGATAGTGTTGATGCTTCATATTCAATTCCACTGATTGCTCTCACACACCTGAGTTCCACACACTAACTATGTAGTAACACTACTTTGTTTGTTGTAGAGCAGGATAGGGTTTTAGTGTCTTAGTATTTAGGAAGTCAAACATTGTTATTATGCCACCATTTCTCCAGACAATATCATGACATCATAGTACATGACATTAAATAGCCATATATGTGTAATATTTCAACAAGGCCAAATGCGGGTAATTATTTATTTTTTTAAAAACCCACTGTTCAAGGCATCTGTGTACATCAACTGTCAATGGATGTGATTCACATGAATGTTT